TGATGAAAAATAGATAGTTTATGATAACATTTGATGCAAACAAAACATGGAAACGAACTTGTGAATATGCATAACCCATGGCTAAAGTGGGCTTACATTCAATGATGGGGCTGCTGTCCGTTTGGTGGGATTGTAGAGGGATAATTCACTTTGAGGTTCTTTCAGCCAGTGAAACAATAATGGCAAAGAAGTATTGCAAACAATTCAATCTTGATGCAGCTATTTAAGAAAAGCGGAGGAGTTTGGCAAATCAAGAAGATTTGCATTTTCTACCATGATAACTCAAGACTGCATGGTGCAAAACAGACCTTACAGAAGATTAGAGAGTTGAAACGGGGGGGGGGTGTAGAGAGAAACCTCCAGCACCCACCATATTCTCCTGACTTGGCTCCTTCAGATTTTAATTTGTTCCAGTCTCTACATAATATATGAGACAGAGACTTGAAAACTACCTGACAATTTTCTTCTAACAAAAACGAAGTTTCTATGAAAATGCCCCCCAAGTTTGTATAAGGATGGGAGACAGTCTCCATTGTTTTTTTTTTTTTTAACAACTATGTACTTCAATAACAAATGATTTTTGTGAGTAGGTAAAATTGTTTAATTTTCTAAAAATCGGACACAAACTTTTGCAATGATGTTGGTAGCCCTGGTATCTACAATGTCAAGTGTTTTTATGCATTAATAAACATTGGACAGCCATTTGGGTGATAGAATTTGGAATGGGGGTGAAAGGGATATGGAACATGGGCTGTAACAAATATTTTGAGCAATGATGCAAAGACAAATTGTTGAACTAAAACAGTAAGATTTGTTAAAACTCTTGCAAAACACCATGGCATGTTCTTGAAATTCCATCTAAAACTCATTTGCATGCAATGAATGTGCCAACAAAGATGACAATGGAGGTATATAATGACCTTAGTAGCAGTTCTAAAATAAAAAAAAAAAAAAAAAAAAAAAAAATGTGAATCCTAATGTAACTTTCTCTGGATTTTTTCTTTCAAACTGTGCAATAAACTTTCCATGCTGAAACTAAAAGGGCTGTGAATGCCTTCAAACTAAAACACACCAAATCCCACTGAAACATTAATGAACATTTTGTGTATACAATTTACGTCTAACAAAAACTTGTTAGAAACTTTCATTCTGTTAATTTTGTTTTCAATGTTATTTTGCATTGCAATTCAATAGGTCAGTCATTTTATGCATGTACCCTTCTTCCCCACCTTTATGTACTATAAAATGTTCCCATAAGAAACCTTACACATTTAATTATTGAAGTAGTTAATCACTAAATGTTTATCTCTTTATGAATGGAAAGACACTTGAAGATGCATAAACACCCACTTTAAAAAAAAAAAAAAAAAAAAAATTCATCCAAGGAAGGCCTGAGCATACACCAGCCAAAATGTCATGAATATGATAATGGAGATGAGGACAACTATCCAAACAGTGTTTAAAAAAAAAAAAAAAAAAAAAACAAGTTACTTGTTGCCAGTGAATTTTTAGATGTACCTAACACCCCGTCAATGCCACATCCTAGAGCAATTTGGAAAATGCATCAAATCTATTGTTTGCTCTTCTGTGAATCACATTGCTAAACAAGTTTCCTGGGCTGAAAAATATTTAATCCTTTAGCATTGAACACACTGAGATTCAATATTTACAAGGTAGGTTTCAAAGTCCTAATATATGGGTGATCTTCCTGCATTATTTGTGATGTCATATATTATGGTTGAGTATACATGGAGTGGATTGGATGCTGAAGGGTTAAAAGGAGAAATTCAAGTGCATGTTATTACTCACAGACAAATGCAGGACAATGCCAGATGGTCCTGACTGTTTAAAAAACAGGATGGTGCCTGAAGGACAATCCCAAGCTTCTTTCCAGTCAAGTTCCATCCTCAAAAATATAAATGCAATGCTAATTGTTATCTTCAGTTTAATACCGGTTCTTTTATTGTTCTCTCTCAATGTCCCCCCCCATTCTTTCACACACAGCTGTTTAAAACACTGGTTTTTGTCCTATGGGAAAATTCTTGATGACCTGGCTGTTGGAAAATTACACCATGGAGATAAAGCAATGGAAACTCAGCGTGAAAAACCCAAACAATTTTTCGATCAATCAGCTACCTTCTTGGGCCATGTTATTGGATGCAGACGGCTATTGTTGGCACATGGAATTATTCACTGGTAATTAATCTTCAATTTGGCTGTGGGGGAATGTCACCGGGGGAGGAGGGTGAGGGTATTGTTAAAAAAAAAAAAAAAAAAAAAAATTTTCCTCACTTCAACCAAATTATTTCAAACTTCAATCCTTTCTCTAAGTTGCTGTGAACATAATTGAATAAAAGGAACCACTATATGACCCAAAGTTGCAAAATACAAAGTACATGCAGAACAAAAAAAAAAAAAAAAAAAAAAAAACAAACACCACCAACAGGCAGTGATCTTGAATTGAAAATTACCAATGGACTGTCACATTTGAGTATGGTTGTTACTAAGATAAGATGGCACATATGATATATTTTACTATTATGCTGACCATAAAGAATATTGCTTCCTTGGGTTTACCCCATGGTTACTTTGAGGATTTTTGATCAATAAGACTTGTATTGGCGTGTTTCACCTACAATTTACAAATGTTTATGCAAGAAATTTAGTTTTCATTTCAATGTATAATTATATCCTCAGTTCAAGCTTTGATCTAATGTCTATTGTAAGAAACTGCTTGTGTTATCCCCCTCCATACAAACAGTAGTACAAGATTTTACATAATCGTAATCTTATAAGCATTACAGAGTTAACAAATCCTTAAGCCTTATTTCAGGCTTAAAATTACAACTTTAGTAATTTCAGTTATTTTCTGTAAATTGTGAGGATTTAAAATTTTATTTTTAAGTAAAATTGAAAAAAAAGGAAGTGTGTTCTGGTACCAGCTCTGCAATTTTTCTTAATGCTTTTTAAGAATATAAAGTATTTTACAAGAATACTCTTGAAATATTTACACATCAGCTATTGTTTTATCTGCTCATTATGAGGTGAAGTATATCAATTTAATGAAATTAGGAAAAGCAGAATTCATTTTTTAAAAATAGGAAATGAAATGAAAAGAAAAAAATCTTAAATTTAAACAAATTTCAGATACAATTTAAAAATAGATCAAATGTTCAAATATATAAAATAAAAAAAAAAAAAAAAAAATTATTTTTACCAATTTGTGATGGCAATAAATTTTGAATTAAAATGATGTAGACATTTATATACATTTATTAATGACTTGGTCCCACTTAAAAGGAGAAATTTCTTTGTTTTTGAATTTTCTTACTCAGGTAATGAAGATTGCATTGGAATGGTTAATGTAACTTTTTTTTTTAAACTGCCCTGGAGCAGTTTATATCTAACAAGAAATTTCTTTGTGTCTTACTTTGGTAACAAATTGCCATCAAAATAAGACAAATGACAAGGAAGGCAACAAAAGCAAATGATTGTCCTAGTGTGGCTGATGAGATTTCACTCATGTGATATCCACACATCAATAGTGATTAAGTTTGGAGGAAAAAAAAAAAAAAAAAAGCATTGATCTAAAAAGCTGCTTTGGATGTTCTAGTTATACTGCAGCCATCTTGAATAATCTTGTATACTCACAATGCATACATATACAAGGTGGCAACAATGGGTACACATTGTTAAGCTGGCTTAAAGGTCAGAATAGTCTGATAGCTATGCTTTTTTTTTTTCCTTAATGCTTTTTAAGAATTAAAAAATTTTCTATAAAAAAACACTATTTATCAGATAGGATATGATTTATATTCAGACTATTGTGCTCATCTTTTGTTAAAGTTTTGACCATCGTGCTCATTTCACAAGTCTGTCAATCTGAGTAACCTTCAAGGAATTTCAAACTGAACCCTTCATTTAATACAAGAGGATATATCTTTCTTGTTTTGCTGTCCATGTCTAGGGATCTCTAGATATGGATAGAACAATCTACCTCTTTATATAAGGTATTTTTTTTTTCAGTAGTACAAGATTTTACATAATTGTTATTCTATAAGCATTAGTTTGGTTCAAAAATCCTTGAAGGTTACCTTGATTAGCAGACACCTAAAGATCAAAAGACAAAGGTTGAAACATGACAAAGATGAGAACATTAGCCGGAATATAAATAAAAAGGTAACTCTTCATCAAAAAATTCAGACAGAAAGCATGCTATTACACGCTTTGTTTCTCCATACAAAAAAAAGGGGTTAATGAAAAAATTTTTTTTATTTGAAGAGCTACTCCAAAAGAAATAGCAAGAATAATGTGAGAAGATAAGTAATATTTTTACATGGTGAAAATTCCCTGAACTTTGATAAGTTTCATTGAAGATGGAACTTCTATGATATTAAGCTTTTTATTATAGTTTTTTTTGTGTGCATATAAGAGATTTCTTTTCTGGACATTGAGTGTGCAAGAACTCTCCAAATGTTTTTCGAACTAAGCTAAAAGAGAAATATTTTAATTCCTGAAACAGTCAACACTAAGATGGCTATAATTAATGTCTTGGCTGTGTTCAGGAAATAAAAAAAATTCTATCCTAAAAATTTATAATTAGGTAAGAAAAATTAAATATGCAGTGTTTTATGAGATATGTTCCATGAAACCTGTATAAAAGAGGGATTGCTGCCCAAATTCAATATCAGGTATGATAAAATATAGTTTTAAGGTATGCTATGGGTTAAAGTGCTCATTATAGGGCATATGTAAATTTAAAAGTGGGCATTGAAGTCAATACCCAAAAGCAACAGTGTTTCATGCTAAACACAATTTAGCATGACACACTGTCACCTCTGGGTGTTGACTTCAATGTCAACTTTAATACAGCAATCCATTTTTTGCCCTTTTGCATGAAATTTTAAGGGAACAGAATATCATTTTTTGGTACTTTCATTAAGAGACAGCAAAAGAGGATTCTGTAGTACAAGACCTGATTTTCTTAGGATATTAATATATTATTTTTCATTTGCCTTTTCGGTAGATTCTATCTCCACTTCTTGGAAAGGTTCAAGTTCTGTTAGCTCCTCCTGTTTCTTTATTTCTGCTTCACTGCTGAGCGTTGTGCCACAAGAGTTGTTGCAATTTTCTCCTGAAGATGAATCAGAGAATTCTTCCTTTTGGTCATTTTCTGATCCAGTCCCTTTGGTGCTGGTGCTGCTGCTGCTGTGAGAGTGTTGGCTTGCTGTGTCAGAATCCAATGAGTCGACACCAGAGTCAGAATCAGATTCATCTGTTTTTTCACTAGATGACACTTGGGCATCCTGGAAAAGAAAAAAAAAAGTTACTAATAAAACTGCACCAAAACGAAATGGCGCGAAAGAGAGAGGAAGGGAGGGGTCGAGAGAGTTCACTTTTTTTGATAAACAAGTTACATGTAAATGCCTTTATTTATTAAAATAAAAGAAATAAGGTTTTACTGCAAGTTGGTGTTGAAAATTTGTTAACACAAGCAACAAACCTTTAAGTTGGGGGGGGGTATGAACCATAAAACATTTTAGGAAGCAGATGAAGCTAATCTTTGCAGTACACTGTATGTGTTTTGGGGAGGGGGGGTGTTACAAAACTATACTAATACCACTTTCAAGCATGTATGTGCAAAGGAATGGTAGGTTTTGGCAAGGATGCGTTGTGTGGGGTGGGGGATAGAATACCCCTCCTGTAAAAACTCCTCTCAGAGAGGAGATGCCAACAAATAACTATCAAACTCATGTGGGAGAGGGATGTATGAAAGAGGTGAAAGACACAAGAGCAATTATTTTTAAGTCTATTTACCATTGTCCATGGTGGTGGGGCCTGGTCTGAGCATCGTCGAAGAGCAAATTTCCACACACCAAAACCTGAAAGGCCAACGGTGTTCCAATATTTCTCAACCGTATATAATCCTAAAATGTGGAGAGAAAAAACTTTATTAATTGACAAAATAACCAAACTGGTGAGCTAAGTTCAAATTAGTTTTGAGTTCAATTTAAACTAATGCCCTTGAGAAAGACATCTCATATATCTCTTATAAAATGCAGATTGTGTGTGTGTCTGTACGTTTATATATTGGATCGGATTTCCTACATTTTTCAACCGATTTCAACAAAACTTCACAGGACTATGTAAAATTACCTTGCAGTGGTTCTGACAGCGCCAAAAATTGGAAAAACAATTGTTTTTGCACAAAATCAATTTGAAAACACAATTAAGAGGCATCGCGAGAATGAAAGGGGGACAACTCATATAGAGTTATACTTATTATAAAACCCAGGTTGTTTGTGTGTGTGTGTGTGTGTGTGTGAGTTCGCTTATATATGGATCAGATTTTCTACATTTTTCAACCGATTTCAACAAAACTTCACTTTTTTTTGGCAGGTAGTGTTTCTTATTGTCTTGCACACTTTTTATTTTTACATTCAGAATGCTTTAAAAATTCCATTTACAAGACACTTGTTTATAATAAAATTCTATTCAATCGGTAGACTCATAATGATTGAAAAAATGTTTTTGTTTGACCAATTCGTAAACAAAAAAAAAAAACTAAATGCGTGTCCATCAACCTTAAACAATCTTTGTCAATTTTATTTTTCAGTCTTTATGATGGTCGATACTTGATCTATCTCTTACTGTTACATCTCGGGCAATGCTGGGCTCTACTGCTAGTGTGTGTATAATATATATATTATATATATATATATAATACACAAAACAAGAATAGCTATAACTGTCAACATTCTGTTGCTACATTTGAGGTATGAAAGTTGCATTTAAAAAACAAAACTGATCAACTTAATGAAACAAAGATACCTGTCCCATCACAGGGGTTACATTTGAATACACTTTTCATACACTAAATGTAGCAACTATTATGAGACAGAGGTAGGTAGCAATTACAACTGCAATAGGACAGTTGTATACCCCTTTCATGAATGAAATGTAGCAAGTATTACAGGACAGAGGTAGCATTTTTATTACATTTTTTTTTCTTTTTCTTTCTTTGTATATAAAATAGCAACCAAATTAGATTTCTTGGTGTTTGGGAGTCATTTTTTGCATTTCAAGAATCCCCCATTTGACATGAAACCATCTGCCTATGTATTAAATTTCTAACAAGGGTTATTTGTTCAAATGATTGAAAATTGGATGAGAATCAGTCAGAATATGATAAGGATGCAAGAATTTGGAAAGGTCACAAGAAAAATGGATTTTAATTTGCCTGACAGAACAGAAGTTGCATTAGTTATATGAATGAGCTTTAAGATTTAAAATTAGTTATATAAAAAAAAACAAAAAAAAACAAAAAAAAAAACATTCCAGCAAGTCACTGGTTCGTCTAGCAACAAACAGTATATAAATAATAAAAAAAAACCCCTCTTTTATCCATAGGATGTAGTAGCAACAATACTAGTAGTGGGTGTTGCTCATTTTTCATCATTCTCCTCCCTGGAACATTTATTTACTTTTTAATGAATATTTTGTATACCCCTGTGTCTTTGGTCACAAAATACTATATCTTGCATGTGCACAACTGTACAATTCCTTCCATATTCGCAATGCACACACACCAAGGTAAGATCACGAGTTTCATCATTGACAAATTTAATGTGACAAACTTAAGGTTTCTTTTGTGGCAATCATGCCTTTCATTTCCAGAGTATATAAATAAACAGGATTTGCCTGAAATCTATATGTAGGAAATCAAAATAAAAATAGCATTCAATTTTTATCAATATAATTTTGATAAAAAAAAAAAAAAAAAAAAATACAAGCAAAAATTTAAAATTAACAACAACAATAATGTCAACAAAAAAATTTGAAGACTTAAAAATATATTTACCATCATATCTATATCCTTCTTCAGGTGCAAATTCACTTTTGAGTTTGTAGCCACGAATTACTCTGACAGGATGACCTAATTCACAGTTGCGACTCAAAGCCAAGTTACCTCTGGTTAATGTTTGGTCCTTTGATTGAGAAGCTGTGCGCAGATTCTGAAATTTAGGAGGAAGAAGAGGAAGGAATTAAAAAAATATGAGAGACCAAGTTTCAGAAAAAACAGATACAGATGGTGGATTTAAAAATCCAAATAAAACAAAAAGATGCTTTAATTTGTATGGAATTTATTAATCACCAGGTTGTGTCTAGGAAAAATTGTTAAAATAGAACAAAAATTTTAATCAAAGCAATAAAAGCAGACAAAATATAAGATGAAATTAGACAATGATGAAAAACAAGACCTGTCAAAGGCCGGTTGAGCTTATACAAGGAGATATTGTGTGTATACTATATCTCCACAAATATTCTTAAATGTCTGTAATTGGTAACAGAAGTCATTGGTTTATACCAACAGTTTCCCATACTTAATACTTCTCGAATTCGCTCTCGTGTGGTCATGTGTGATGTCATGAGCTGTGGTGCGATTTTCGCTTCAAGCATCTTATATGCATGTGTTTATCGTTGCTTGGAAATCATCCACAAACAAAAACAAACTATCATCACTTTCTTGTCAGTGTATTGCTTAATATATTTGTCATACTGTAATTGTCATCTTTGATAATTTAATGACTTATTAAATATCAGGCTTATGAAAAGCTCAGATTGGATTAAAAATATATATCAATATATATATTTTCTTTCTTATATTTAATATATAATGTTATAAAATATTATCAGACGTTATGAAAATAATTCACATAAAATAAATATATATATAACATATTGTTTATATATATATATATATATATATATATATATATATATATATATATATATATATTATATATATATATATATATATATATATATATTATATATATATATATATATATATATATATATATATATATATATATATATATATATATATATTATATATATATATATATATATATATTATATATATTATATATATATATATATATATATACACACACTTTAGTGTACCTGTGCATTCAAAATAAGTGGGAAGAAGGAATGTATTATAAGTAATTTTTGTTTAATCCAAGTACAATTTTGTCAGTTAAAATTGTTCAATTATTAATATTAACAATGAACTGTGTACAATTTATAAACACCTCAGGAAAGAGTGTGTGTGTGTGTGTGTGTGTGTGTACATGCACAGCTTTTGCGACACCTTGGTTATTCTCAAAAGTTAAGTTTGCTGTGAAATTAGAATAGTGATAGCCGATCCCACAAGCCAAGACAACTCGAAGAAATGAAACTTAATGTGAATGTTTAATTAAAGCTGAAATAAAATGTTTGCACATAGTTCGCAGAGAGAGGAAAAGAAGGGGGTTTCTTTGTAGTTTGTCAGCGCAGTAGCTTTTTGTGTTTGGACGTGAATGGAGTAATGACTTCCATGTGTCATATGAAATCTTTGCACACATTCACATACATACATATACACACAAGAATTAAATCTTTTAAACAACTATAGTAAAGATTCAGTAACCCGAATGTAGGTCTTAATTCTATGATGCTTCTTACAGTGCAAAAAAATGAAGTTTATGTCAGGGATTGAAAAATTTTCCTTTTTATCAATCTGGTGATAGCTAGCTGAACTGAAAGTTCCTGGCCAATAGTCTTATTACTATGCTATAGAGATCAATTTCAAATTAATCTTTGAAAGTAAAAATAAGAGAATCTTAGAGTTCTTACCTTTGGATTACTTTTTGTACCTTTCAAATCTCTACCACCTGGGGAGAAAAAAAAGAATCCAAACATAATGGAAAAAAATGCACACATGATATATCGTCTACACCACAAAAAAGAAAAACATTATGAATTAATTGTTCACTTACATAAAAGCATAGGGCAACAAAAGACGAGAGGGGGGGGACGAGAGAGGGGGAGGGAGGGAGACAAGAGAGGAATGTAGCAGCATAAAATCTTAGCTGTAGAACTTCCAGGGTTACAGCATTTTTACTGCTGAAATTCACTTAACATGGTAGAGGGTTACTGAAGGAGTTGAAGATTATGAGGATAGACAATAATTGAATCATGAGTTGAACTTCCTCTTTTGAATACAGAAGAAAAGTCAGCAATTCAACTGTGGACAAAGATGTTGAACATTTTGTGGGTTATTTAAAGCTGAAACATCCGATTTAAATTTTTTTGCAAGTGAATATTGCATTAATTTTTTAGGAGAATGATTTTTCTAGATAGAACTACTATTTAACCCATAGCTGGAGGGAAAAATGGATTCGTACATTTTACAAGGGTATTTTTACATATAAATAAAAGTAATGAACTTGACTGGAATTCAAAAACTGCTCTTACATTACTTGCACATTGGTGGACATAGCCGGGTGAGCCCAAGCTAATGGAACTAAAGAATGGAATTCATTTTATATATATATATATATATATATATATATATATATATAGAGAGAGAGGGGGGGTTGTGAAAAATTTACATAACTCATCAAATAACAATACAAACCTTCTCCAGTATAAGTAAAACATTCACCAACATCCAGGTCATCTTCATACCCACCAGACAAAGCGATTGAATAAGCACCTTCAATTTCACTGCCATGGATACCAGCCACAGTTGGTCTAGAGTGTAAAGGAAAAATAAAATAAAAATCTTCAAATTTGATAGCTTGTCTTCCTCATTCCTACAAGGAAACTTAAAAAATGGCTAGTCTTCTGTTGGCTGGAAATGCTTAGGAAAGCAAGTAATTGCCCGCTTTCTAAATGTTATTTTATTTTTTTTTTCTAAACTAAAGAATTTAATTAATTTCCTGCTTATTAATGATTCCAATTAATTCTGATCTCTCCCTATAAATTTTATAAATATCATTTAATTTTATTATTTTTATCCTTTTTGTTTAAGCCTAATTTTCTAGGTTTAGATTAAGGTCAGTAAGTGGGTGGGGGAGTGTGTGTTGTTTGGTACAAGGTAATATAAATAAATATGTATATAATATATATATATATATATATATATATATATATATATAATAATCGTACAAGGTCTTTAATCTTGTGTTTTTGCTAGTTTCAGAAAGTTAGCTGATGGACCTGTCTTAAAAAAAAAAAAAGAAAAAAAAAAAAGCTGGCATTGATAGGGTGTTAAGTGGGTGATACATCAATTCTATTGCTATAAAATAACCAATTTTGAGGCTTATTAAGACGCCAAAGTACAACCCAAAGCCACAAACTAATGTATAGATTTAAAAAAAAAAAAAAAAAAAAAAAAAAAAAAAAAAAAAAAAAAAAAAAAAAGAAAAAAAAGAAAAAAATAAAGAAAAAAAAGAAAAAAGCTACATACCGATGGATACCAGCATGACTGCACTCTACACGTGTTGCCCACCACGTTCCAACCTCAACACCTACAAATGGCAGAAAAAAAAAAAAAAAAAAAAAAAAAAAAAAATGTGTGTGGACTAGGATATTGAATTAAATAATTCAAGGCTTAAGTTGAAAAATCTGTAGTTTCTTACCATTTATCTCTCCAAATACATTAGGACGAAATTGTGGCACTCTTTTCACTGGGCTTTCTACCTCTTCCTCTGTTAGGGGTAAGCTATTTTCTGAAGGTTTCTAAAAAGACAGAGAAAAAAATAAAAAATAAAAAAATAAAAATAAAAAATAAATAAATCTATGCAATTATTTTGTACATTTAAATCATCCCCTCCACCCAAAAGTCTGATTTAAAATACATATTAAGATTCACACATAGGAATTTAGGTATACTCAATTTAAAGAATCTTCTACAAAAAGCCTTCTATAAACTTCAATCATGGCAGACAGCTAGGCCAAAACTACTAGATCAATTCAGTAATATAACACAGGGCAGTGTGAGGTTTGAACTCTGGCAATACTAGTTTGCTAATCAATGCTTAATTGAAAGTCATCTATCTTATATCATGATGGAAGCACAAAAGCCTAAGCATGAACCCCAATTGAAGTGGGTAGAAATTTATTTAGTGTGTGAACATGATGCCGTACCTGTCCTCTAAGACGACATGACCGCCTGATGGGGCCCATTTGAACAGATCCCTGGTTTTCGACATTTTGTGTTGCTGCAAAGTATTTCTTGGGTTTTGAAGAGTAGGACGGCGCTTTTCGTTTTATTGGTTTGTGAACAACTTGAAATTTTTCAAGCTGAAAAAAATAAAATAAAATGAAATTAAATCTGTGCACACAAAGTTAGAAAATTATATACAATCTCTGCCCCAGGGTGTAAAAGCAAAATTCTCCAATTGTTAGATTAAGCTCTGAACCGTTGTATCTTAGAAATGACTAGCAGTAGAGCCCGGCGTTGCCCGGGGATGTAACAGTAAGAGATAGATCAAGTCAAGTATCGACCATCATAAAGACTGAAAAATAAAATTGACAAAGATTATTGTTTAAGGTTGACGGACACGCATGTCTTAATTAGTTTTTTTTTTTTTTACGAATTGGTCAAACTCAAACAAAAACATTGTTTTTAATCGTTATGAGTCTACCGATTGAATAGAATTTTATTATAAACAATTGTCTTGTAAATGGAATTTTTAAAGCATTCTGAATGTAAAAATAAAGAAAAAAAGTGTGCAAGATAAGAAACACTACTAGTTGTTTTTTTTTAACCATTTCACCCCCCACCCAAAAAAAGGAGGAAAGAATATTTGTTGTATCATGAAATTTTTTATGAGTATGTGGTATATAGCAGATGGAATGGCAATGGATAAGCTCTTGTGGTGAAGGAGTAAATCTTAATGGATGAATAAATAGGCCATAAATTGGATAGTTAATGTAGACCAGCCTCACCCCACCTTCCCTTTGGCCTCATAATTCAATTTGCAATAAATCTACCTTTTATCCCAACCAAAGCAACAAAGCTACTAAGATAAAAGGGATTACTGAGTGAGAGAGAATATGAAAATGCCAAACATTAAGAGACCAGTAATTAAGACAAGATCATGATTGACATTGATCTTCAAAAACTTAAGTGCTAAGTCTACCATTTGTTGATGTTTAGACTATTTCTGTTACAGTGACCCTGCTATATACCTTGAGCCTCTTGATAAAATCCAAAGAAGAATCAGCAATATTACTGGTCTTGATCTGGTGGTTCAGCTTCAGTTACTTTCTCACCATGTAAGGTTGTCCCCTCTCCAACTTTACTATAAATACTTTAATGTTAATTGTTTCACTATGGTACCTAGTGCGCTACTAGACTGGCATAGAGTAGTTAGCAATTTACAGTTGAGCTGGCTAGATAAGTTTTTCTTGCACTTTTTGCTTGTGGAACTTCCTTTCAGCTCCATGATTTCCAGCCAACTTTAATCTGCAAAAATTTAAATGCAATGTCAATTGATATCTACTGTCCTCCTGAATACTTTCCTTCTTCCTGCTTAATGTTTCAATTCATAATTCTTCCACACACAGTAATCCCTTGTCTCTTTGGATTGGGGGGGAATGGGGGTTTAACTCAAAGTGGGAATGAGAGAAAAAAAAAAGTTGACTAGAAAACAAGAAGCTGGTAGAGAGTTCTACAAGTGAGAAGCAAAGAAACTGTTAGCATAGAACTTATGGTAACAGAAAAAATTTTATTTTTAAAAATGTTAAAATTCTAAAATGAATAATAGTCTAACATTTTTTTTTTCTTTCAAATATACATTTTTTGTGAGAAGTGTATTTTTCTTAAGTACCAGATGGCTTGTGTGAAAATTGTTACATTTTTTTTATGACTCTTTAGGCCGAAGTGGTTGACCGCCAAAATTATGTCGTTGATTAGTTTTGAGAGCCGATTTCTTGAAGCCATTTTGAAAACTTGAAATGAGCTGATATAACAGTTGTGAGTGAGTTATTAAGAAAAAAACTATTAATGGTTGAAGAAGAAGGTATTAGCACCCATGCTTCAAGAGGATTGGTCGGGCTGAGGGAGTTATAAATTAATAAGATTTTTGGACATCAAGTAAACACAGCAGGTCATCAACATTAAAAGAGATGATTTGTCACCAAAAATAGAACATCAAAAGACAGCACCAGTTACCAGCCATCTGCGGAGAGACAAAAATTTCAAGCGAAAATTCTGTGGTTGGACAGCATAAAATGAAAAGAGATTTTCCCAAGCACGAACTGTGAGAAGGTAAAAGGGACTTTTCTTTTCTTCTCCAAAATAACTGCTGTTAAAAGTAGGTCTTTTCCAGTCTCCCCACCTAAAAGGCCGTTGAATTTAAAAAAAAAAAAAAAATACTATATTATATAGGTTTCTCTTTTTTTTTTTGTAATTTACAAAAACCTAAGTCTTTTTCCTTGCTGTAATTTCCTACTTTCTGTTGGTAACCCATGAAATTGTTATCCTGCCTTTGAGGTGCACAGAAGTAAATTTTTGTGCCAACTTGTACGTTTTTTCGTAATTGTCTAAACCATAAATAGATGCATTATTCCTTCTGAAATGTCATGCTTCTTGTGTCTTGCTGTTTTTACTAAGTTTTTGTTAGGTGACCCTACCTATATAAAGACAGTTTTTCATGCAACAGGAAGTTGTGTGCATGCGCCATAAATAATTAAAATGATTAAATTTAATTTTTGCTTCTGAATAAAATTTTTGTATTTTTAAAATGTGAAACCGATTTGTTAACAGCACATGAAAATTTAAACAAATCTAGCATTAAAATTGAGTTTTGTTTTTTTTTTTTTTAAATTATTTTTTATACATAGTACTTCATCTTAAAATTATACGGCATGCAATTTGGAGTCAACAACACATTTTTCCTTTCTGTTCAGCGATGGTAGAATGATCTGAAAGTAGTAACAAAATAATAGAGGGAGTTGGGGGGGATTTAACAAACAGGATTCATGTAAGAATTGTTTTTTCTTTTTTAATTCTTTTTAGAGCCTTGGAAATTTTGGTTAAAAATCTTGTTTATCTAGCATCAACAAAGTACCATAAATTTCTAAGGGAAATATTATTTGAGTCTTTTTGCAGTGAAAAACAGATTTGGAAATTCTTGCAAAAATCAGAATTGTCGAATTTCAATGAAAATTTCAAACAACACTTATTCAGAAATAAATATTTTTAAACGTTTCTTTGTAAAAAAAAAAAAAAAAAAAAAAGTTAACATTAAATATTCATTTCTTTTTATGAAAAAATGTCACAGTGGATAAAGGTGTTGGTTAGATCCAGTGACAGACCCAAAGAAGGTGAGTTCATTTCCTGGTTAAGGCAGTGGAGAACTTTCAAAGGGAAAATTAGCAGGAGATAACTGATAACTGACATCCATCAAACATGGCACGTGGAACTAGAACAGTTTACCCCAGTGATCGAAATAAAGGGTTCAGTTCGAAATTCCAACCACCTGAAGAAGGCCGGAGCGTACAACAGCCGAAACGTTGCGATAAATATGGCGACAAAGATGAGGACAATAGTCCGACTAATGTAAATACTGTACATAATACCTCATCTCAGAAACATAGACAGACTCAAAATCTTTTTTGCAAAGCTTAATTTTTTGTATTAGTTATAAAGACAAGTCAGAGTATTTTAAATCATGAAATTTTTAGTGTCAAATAGGACGCCAGTTGCAGAAAATTTGCACTAAATTGGAAAAAAAAAAAAAAAAAAATGCAAGTAAAAGGCACTATTGAATTAAAAAGACTTAATTACTTTAAAATATTAAAGTTTTTTTTTTTTTTGAGGAAAAAAAATTTTTTTTTATAACTTCAATTAAATTAGAAATCATCAACTTTAAAAAATATATTTAAAAATTAACTAAGCTATATAAATTATGTGGGTGGAAGCCGGATGCAGGTAAAGCTTAGTTACCTAATTTAAAAAAAAAAAATAAATAAATAAAAATAAAAATAAATAATTGCAATTAAATCTAATTTTCTTGAAATACAATAAGAATTACAAATTTTTCACACTTTAATTTTTCTCAACATTCAATTAAGAATAAAAAATAAACACGGGTTAAGTTAACGAACGTAAATTTTTGCAAGATAAATATTTCATTAAAATTATAATCAGTTAATTTTTTTTTTCTTGAACAAAAGCTATATATTAAAAAATATTTAATATGCAAAGAAAAAATATTTAAACAAAGAAAAGTTTTATGTAGTGTGAAAACAACGGTCAAGTTTAAAAGTCAAAAGCGCCCCCTGTTGGAAAAATCGGGATCAAGCCGGCGACAAACTACAAGCAGCGCCCTCTGTCATTCACAAAACACATGGACACAACAAAAACACATGCAGAGAAAATACCAAGTATTAAAACATGCGCCTCAAAAAACGACGATGTAAATAATTATTTGGCGAAAAGGAATTCCTAATGACTGAAAAATATGTGCAATATGGAATACAAGTTCTGAAATACTTAACAGAAAGGATAAAGTAAAAGATGTTCGTGCTTTGGCTCGGAGGGAAAAAAAAAGTATGGAAGTGAAGTTGGAAAAGAAACTTAACGAGGAAGAGAAGAAAAATAGTTTATTTTTTCAATTTATTTTTTTATTAACCTATCTTTTTTTTTTTTTTAAATGAAATATCAGAAAAGTTGGTCAAATCTGCTGACTGTTTAAAAACAACGATAAAATTAAAAAAAGGAGAAAAAAAAAATTGAAACAAGAAGCGTGAAGCAAAAACAAAAAGACAAAAAATCAAAGTTTTGTTATTTCTATTTTTTTTTTAACCCGCCTTTTTCTTTTTACCACCCTCAAGTTCATATCGATAACTGAATTTTTAAAAGTCATCAAACTCTGGAAATAAGGCCCAGTTAAAAATAATTTCCTATTTCCGAGTCGGAAACAAAAATTGTCATGTGGAATCGGGAAACCTTGTAAAACAAAACCTCGAAAAGTCAATTTAAAATTAAAACAAAAAAAAAAAAAAAAAAAAAAAAAGACAAAAAAAAAACGAACTAAATTTGACTTTTCGTCTGTTTACAAACATTTTAATTTATTGCAGATTTGACAAGTTCTAAGAGGAGAAAGACTTATAAACAAAAATAAAGCCAATTTATTAAAATTTTTTTTTTTTTTTGTCAGAGTTCATTGACTAAAATTTTTAGTTCTAGTCAACTTTAAAAAACAAAGTAATTAACTGTTTTTTTACAGTAATATCAAAAACAAAGGAAAACCCAGAAGAATCCTAAGCTAATTTTGAATACCATCAAATAATTGACATTAGTAATTCCATTGACTTTTGTTTTTACTGAAGTTTTAATGATTCGTAAAATTTATAGAAAAAAAAGCGATAAATTCACAAACTATTTTGTACTTAACGGTAATTTTTGTTAGCAAGTTAATAATAATAATAATAATGACAATTTAAAAACACGTAAACATTCAACAAGATTAAGATTACAGACGTCACATCTCCAAAGAAACCTTTTTTTTTTTAAATTCAAAAGATGCTAGAATTCCCGACATATAATTATCTAAATTTAAAAGAGCTTGAGATGTTTTTACTTAAAAATGGTTCTACAAAATAAATTGCACAATTAGCTAAAGAAAGAAAGAAAAAAAAAAACAGAAAGTTAAAAATAAAATACATTTAACTTCGAAAACTAAAGCCTTCTATTGTCTCCCATCTTTTAAATAAAACTTTAAATATGCCTCAGGATACGACCAATAATGAGTGTCAGCAAGATCAGAATTTTCCTTATATGCGAGATCGTCATGAAGACTTCCAACTCGCAGAAGTGGATGAAATCCTACGATACCCAGACCCGTCCAAAATTATGTCGGAACCTCCGATCTTGCCTAAGGGAGGCGAAGTATACCTTTACCGACCCAAGGCGCTGGACAGACGAGTGAGGGACCAATATTGGTGGGTCAATCGTGGAAACAATTTTCACTCGAAGGGCCAGAAACGACCAACCATTATGAAAACCTACTTCAGCCTCAAAGACAGAAATGGAGGACGAAAGAGCGATTGTTTAAACGGGTTTCGTCGTCATCTCTATCGCTTGGCTGATGCAAAAGATGATGAAGCTATCATATTTATTCATTATCTGGGGGACGAGACTTTACACAAGCCTATGCCTCATGGAAATACCAAACTTTCCTGGCATAATCAACCGGCAGCTTCGTCCAGGAATTCTACTGTCAAAACATGCGAGAAAATTCCCAATTATCATGATTTCCCAGCAACTGGACGATACCAAAATAATAAAGTAATGACTAGAAACGCAAATAATACCGGCAGTAAGCGGAGCTCAATTCCTGCTAATGTCAGGACTCCATCGAACCTTATCAAACCTGGAGTCTCCTCCGTGAGTGACAAAGTCCGACAAACCCTGACGAACAATCGGAAGAGATCGGCCCCTGGTTGGAACACAAACAAAACAGAAACCAACAAAGTGGTAAATAATTCGATTTCTATATATTTTCTTTTCTTGAAATTTGGGATCGTGTCTAAAGATGAAAAATGTATTCTGAGAGAGACATCAGATCTGCGGATGATCAATTTAGGCTTATTCCCCCATAAATAAATTCTAAACACGATGTGTGAAGAAAAATCAACACTGCATGATGACTGGCCGTTTCACGCCTTAAGCGATCATCAGGCTATAAACCAATAATGCATGCTTAGATTTGAGTTTAGAAAAGAATTGGTATTTAGTTCATTTTAAGTTCTCTGCTCTATTTATTCCTTCCAAAAGTCAGAAATACTGATTTTTGGTAAGTAAGCAGAGAATTTTTTCGTATCAGTTTTATAGTCAATTGTATTTTTTTTTTCCTTCTTAAGTTCTAATTCTCAATTTTAACATGAAAAATTAAATTGTAATTCTTGATATTCTCAGTTGTGAGGGAGAAGGTAATGTCAAAATATTTTTCCTTTAATAATGCGAAATATCAGTGATTTAAAAAAAAAAAATAAATAAATAAATCGATCAATAACTATTTATACTGGGTCTCATGCATGCAAGTAATCCATAAATATCTTAAATTTTGAAATTATATTTATTTTTGGCATTTTTTTTTTAAACCGTTTCTAAATCAGATTATTCCATCTCACCTGCTATCATCTTCTGCCACACTGAATCACTGCTCTAACCATTCTGTGCCATCCATTCACAAACCCAGCTTTACTTACAATTTTTCCTTGCCTCCTGATGCCTTGAATATGCCCTGTGTATATTAAACTTTCCAAGTCCTCTTTCCTCATAACGTACCTCTAAAAATTTTAAAAGTCTTTGTTTTTTCATAGTATTCTCAGCATCTGTCAGTCCATCTGTCATTTCAAGCATCTTCATCAGTATAAGGAAATTGTCCAGCATTCAATGCTGTGAGGGGGATAACAGTTTAGCAATTCTTTCTAAAATATTTGTACATCTTAATACTTTGCTTAGTTTTTGGATGGCCTTTTTCACCATTCTGAAGCACCTTCAGATCCTCATATTGTACTTTCCATTGTCTGCTACCCTACCAAAATGGGAATTTCGGTACCTGCTTCATATTGAGGTTTTCAATCCGAAGCTCATACTGCTTCTCTTGCTGACAAACCACACAGTCCTTTCTTCTCTTTTCTTTGCCCAATAGCAAGCCAAGAAAGAGTGATGGGAAGAACTAAAACTAACTAAACCAGGTGCCAATATTTAAGAACACCATCCATTATCTCAGGTTTCTACTTTTCTCTCAACATTTGCCTGTATCTTCTCACTCTCTCCCTTATCCTTTTTTTACTCTTTATTGAGTTTCCTTTTCCCTTAATCAAAATGGTATATATGGATTAGTTTTTTATGCAGAGAAAAAGACATATGCACAAGTATTTTCTATTACATCAGTTTCTTTGCTTTTCCTTTTTTAAAATCTTATTTAGCCTTGTCTTCAGAAATAATTTTAATGTGTAACAATTTTTAAATTTCCATTCTTAACCACCTTTCAACTGACCAATTGTTAGATTTTCTGAATTGTTAAAAGTTGTTAGATTTCAAGGGACTTATCCTAATATTAGTTTAATCTGCATAATTTCACTGCAGTTTTTATAATAAATCTAATAACTTTAAATGAAATGTTTAAACTACCTAAAAATTTAACTCCAGCTTGTTTTGACATTTTAGATTAAAATGTGACAAATTTTCAAGAGCAAAATGGATTTAAGCTTTACGATTTGCATAAAAATTCTAATCACTTAAAAGCAATAAACAGTGAAGGTAGTTGAAATAATAGTTGGTTTGTATGTGGGGGGTACTGACCTTTTGACAGTTTTTTTTTTTTAAATTGTGGGCACAGGTTAAAGGTGGCCAAAAAATTTCTGGAATTTTCCATATTTTCTTGTAAAGTTCCATCATAAATATTTTACTCTTGTCATTTTTCATACTTCAGTTTTCTGAGGTCTCAATTCATAAAGAATGAAATGACTGATTAATTAATAAGTATAATTAATGATAATTAATACAACATGTGTCACTTTGTTGATTTATTTATATTCAGCACCTTGACTGCAGAGTTTCATAGTTTTGTTATTTTTCAGGCCACTCGCCTAGAGGATTAATACAAATAAAAACGTCACTTAACCAATTGGTGTTATATTCAGCAGCTCAATTCTTGAGTTTTTGTAGGCAAACGTTTGTAATTTTTAGGCCCAATCATCAGGTTTCAATAGATAATTATAATACTGAGAAAACATTAAAATTACAAGAATTTTACCTTTTTTTTTTTTTTAACGCTAGAACTTTGTGAAAGTGCTCAATAGATAACTAGAGCTATTACATTTAATAGATCAAGAAAAATTAAAGTGACTTCAGATTTTTACAGTGAAATGCTCATCAGGAACATATGTTTGATAAGTCTTTTCTGGATGAGCATTTTGACAAAACAGTAAGCTAACCAGATAAGACAAACATTTAATTTATTACACAAAGTTCTTAATTTCTGAACAAAGAACACACATGACTGACTGGGATTTTCTCAAACTGGAAGGGTTAAACCGAGGATGGGAGGGTATCACCAAACTACAGTCTGCAGTGTCAGTTCATCTGGCCTGCCACTGCACTGCCACAAATGAGCTAAAATATTATTTGGATCAAATTATTAATAGATTGTAGTCAAACTTATTATGCCAGAAAATAAATGCAAGTAAAAAATGCCAAAATTTGGCCACTCTGATAGTTAAAGAAATAAAGTGAAATAAAGTTTGGTGACTTTTTGATATCCAAGTGCTTTTTGTGCTTTCTATGAGATTATGAGCCTGCTGCAGCGATCATGTCAAGTTGCAGGGTTGTGTTTAAACCAGTTTTAAGAATGACATATATAAAAAGGAACAACTTCAGCAAATTATATAATTTTGCCTGAACTCAAATTATAAATGGATAACACAAATTAATGATTAATTAAAAACAAAAACAATGTGTTCAATCCCACACAAACAAAACTGTACATAAAATGATCCTAAACTCTTACCCAACTTAAGAGATAAAATTTTTAAAACTAAGATTTTAAAAACATTGACAAATTCAAAACTGTCTTTACCAAAAACCCCACACCTTCCTATTTCACTTTTAAGGTAAATCAAATTTAAACGAAATACCTCACTACAAACTTCCATGAAACTGTAGGAAAAAAAAAAAAAAAAAAAAAAATCTAATAAATAAACTTCCCTATTGAATATTACTACATGACTGACAAGGGAAAATCTGACAAAAGGACTGCTATCAAATTAAAAAGGTACAATCCTGTTCTTTGACTATTACATATGTTTCGTTAGTTTAACAAAACATTATATATATATATATATATATATATATATATATATATGGTTGTCCAAAATGTACTTTTGCTTATAAAGTAAACAATTTACTGTACAAACTTTTTAGCTAACCTGATATATCCTGAATGAACAGCCCCCAGGAAGGTGAGAACATTTTTTATACCATTTATTTGGAACTAATGCAATATGGATTCAAATTAATCCCCAAATACTGACTTTGGGAAGGATCATATTTAATGCTGCAATCCCCACCCCTGCCAATTTCAGTTAGGGCATATTTAAGAAAAAAAAATTTTAGTTTATAGAAGCATGTAATTTTTAAAGCAAGCAGTACATTACAAAAGCACTTTCACTGATAGAAAACATTACTTCATATAAAAAGTAGGCTAGCAGTATAAATTAAATTTGTTTTAGGAATTAATAAAATAATTTGACAATAGGTAGATGTGACCATCTGAGGCAATATTAGTCTACAGGAGGCCTCAACTTCACATATGTGGGACTGAAAGGAAAAAGATAAAAGTAACATGTACCACCAAAATTAACAGCTTTCAAGCAAATACTTCTATTCATTATCTGGTCATTACTGAATTTACAGGTAGCATCTCTCTCCAATGTCTAATTTTTCATCATTTTTTTTTTTTTTCAATTTCCAAATCAAAAGTACACTCAGTCAAAATTGTGGATAAACTACCCATTTATATTTTTACCCAACTATTTTCAACTATCTTAGCCATTATCAAAACGTGGATGTTGTCAATGTGCTAGAAAAGATTTTGTTGGTTGCATAATGGCATTCCCCCCAGAATGCTGGAATTCAGATTAAATCCAGTGATAGCATGTGTAAAACACTCAAGACACGAGCCACATTAAATATGGCATTTTTACATGTATATATCCGTTACATTCTTTTGAGCTTACAGTCACCTCACGTAGAAACATTGGTTCTCATATGATCACCAAAGTTAAGCAATGTTGAGTGATCATTACCTAGATGGGTGACTGCTTGAGAATACACTTTTTTTCTCTCCAAATTTTGCAACATTCTAATCTCATCCTATGACTATTTTTAACAACATAAAACTGACAGGCTTTTTTGTTACTAGTGAACAAGTGAGCCGTTTAGAGCTTTTCAAGTAACAAGTACTCATAATTTTTATTAGTAAAAATAACTAACTTTACTAGTTAATAGCATTAACACTGGAACTAATTCCTTATTTAGTTCTTGATGGGTACAGAATTTTTAGAATGTTACTCAAATGTAAAGCTAGTTAGCCATGTTTCACAGACCACATTCCAAGTTGGGAGTTTGCAAAGTAATGTTACCCCTCTACCCACTTCCCTTTGATGTTTGTCAAGAAACTCTTGACAAATAATTTAGGCTACACATGTTGGTGATTAATATATATCGAACATATTGCTTGTAGCAATACAGCCCTTGAGGAAGATCTCAGAAAAATCTTTCTTGTAGCTTTAATTCCAAGAAGGAAAATAATTTGCTGTATTTGAAACCAAATTAAATTTATTTGAATTTTTTTCTCTACAGTAAAATCTATAAATTTGCCCATATAGACAGATCTGTTGGCACAAAGTTATTAACCCCCCTCCCCAAAAATCTTTAAAGTAAAATATGCTATTTTGAAACTCATG